TCTTTCTGCCCCTTTTATTCCATTCAGATTACTGGGATTAGGGTGGTGCCAAACTAATCACTCAGTGTAGTGGTTTAGTCATCACACTCCCTTAATCCCAGCATCATGAAATCCAGATTCAGCTGAAAAAGACTGCATGAGGCTGGGGTGGGACAGGTAGACACAAGCCATAGCAGTATCCAAACCTGTTATCCTGTTGAAAACAATCAACCCTTGTGCCCAGCGAGTGCTCCGTAAATACTATATATGTTCACCAAGCCCATCACGATCTGTTTCCAGGTGTGAATTCTAACACAGGAACAAAGCAACTTTCCTTAAGTTTTATTATTGAAAATGGCACTGCAAATCCGTGGTATGATAAAAATAAATTAAATTCAGGTAAACTATGTTAACCGTTAGGCAAGTAATTAGACATCAGCCAGCCTGAGAGAAAAGGCAAAGGTCCAAAGCAGCAAAGTTTTGCTCCTTCTAGTGAAGTGAAAAGACAACGACCTCAGTGTATGACGCACTTGCGATGTCTTAGTCACCTCCTCCACACCTGTACCTGCACCGTACAGGAGGCGAGGTTTATTTTGGCTCACGATTTCCATGCTACAGTCCTTGAATGGTCAGTAGCAGAGTGCAAGAGTCTGAGGGAGGAAATCTGCTCACCTCACGGTGGAGAGGAGGCTGACAGTGAAGGAATAACTGGGAAGGAGAGAGATTCTTCCAACCACTCCCGCCACGACCAACCTCTTCAACCAGGCACCACCTCTACCAGCAGGTCAGCTGATAGAGCCACATGATCCGATCACCATTCAAATACATGAGGCTTTGGGGGCCATTTTGGATTGAAAGTGCAACACCATCATTTGTTACGTCTCAGACTCTATTGTTAACCAGCTAGTTAGACATTACCGGGCCTACAGGACAAATGCGGGAGGGCTGTCCAAAATAGCACACACTGCCTGCTGAATAAAGAAACAAATAGATAAATGTATAATACACTTGTCATCACTTTTTGGTCTCCAACCCAAAGCGATCCCACAGAGCACAAGTGCAGCTTAAGGTTATGCATTGTGCGCAGTCTTTCTGCTACCTGGCTACCTGGCCCCTCACCCCAGCACAAGGCGCACAGCACTCCTGGCTGCCATGGCCTCTAGCTCAATGATGTCAGAAAAGGAAACGTTCTTTAAAGACCCTCCTGCCTTGGGCTGGGACCTGGTTTAAATCAGGAGCTTATAGTTTGTAAATTTCTATCATAATTTTCTTACATAATTAAATCCCACAAGGAAACGTTGACCATCTAAAAAGAACAGGAAGATATTTTGCAATTCCAAAGTTACTTTGAAGTAAAATGTTGAGAAGCACCACATCATAGTCTTCCTAGTTTTCTGAACCCCCAGACTTTCATGTGCATGAAAAGGTAACCAAATATGATGTGCTGCACACAGGTGCCTTCGAGAAACTGCCCACCTTCACCCTTGAAGGCAGAATCCTCTCTGGATCTACCTACACTTCTGCAGAGCTCCTTGTGGGTCTTGACTGCATTCTCTCATCAAGAGTACAAAGAATCAAAGACAAAGGAAGTGAGGGCCAGCTTCTTGCTGCATTGGCCCTGGGCTTCCTTGTGACATTAACCACTGGCGTTGATATTTGTAGTATCACAGGTGTCTGAGAAAAATACTTTCCATGAAATAACACTGCATACACATATTTCTGCTTTGTAAACAGGTGAGCTTACTTTTCTGTCAACATGAGGAAATCACTTTCCACATTCTGGTTATCTAAAATAATATTTTAAATTGTTCATTCAACTCTTAATATTCCTGTGACTATGTTGAAAACGCATAAGGGGAATTCATATTTTTGCTTGAAATGTGAAATGTCTAACACAATTTAGTCAGACTAATTAAAAATCTAGCTTTAGATGGAATCAGATATCCTTTTTAAAATGTTGTCTTCAATCAAATTTACCCAGTTATCGATGACTGTGCTCCCAAGCCTGGTGCCTGCTCCTTTTGTTCCAAGGCCACAATACCTCAAATCCCTTGAAGATACTATTTCCCTTTAGTTTTGAAGGTTAAGGGAAAAGACTTGATCTTGAGAGAAACAGATTCCAAGAGTTCAACGACTGTCTTTAGGCAAAGCTTCTTAGATCACTCCTCTCCTGAAACAATGCCACAGTTGAGGCTTTTCCTGTCCCCTGTACAATGGGCCATCTCTTCACTTACAAAATGAGCTGTTATCCTTCTACGTGAGGGGACTTCACTTTTCTCCTGTAAACCAAGCCCAAACTTGCTACACATCCACAAAGCCCACCACCAAAAACACATAAATATGCCCCTTATAATGCACCTCTCTGTTGAGGGCCCCCACTCTATTTCTTTGAGTGTGCGTTTTTACATTCTGCCTAATAAATCCTTTTCTGTCTACTAGAAGAAAAAAAAGTGACGTCTTCAGTAAGAAAGAGCAAATCTTCATAAAGTTACATTTTTTTCCCCTAACAAACGGGTCTATGTGCTATTTGGACTCTATTTGTTTTCATTTGTGTTCTCAAAATAGTAAGTTAATGTGAAGAATTATTCAGGATGACAGTTTTACCATATTCACTCCCTTTCAACCCACCTGCCCATGATCTGAGATCCTAAGAAATGTTAAGTGCTGAAAGAGGGGCTCTCTTTATCCCTAAAACCTAACTGTAAATTAATTTTGTTATAAAATATAGATTATTTCCAATAAGTATAGCATAAATAAAGACTTTTTAAATATTTAAATGGAAGAGCTTCAAATATTTCTTTTGTTTTGTTTTTGCTTTTTTTTTTGGTACCAGGGATCGAACTTTGGTCCTTGTGCTTATGCAGCAGGCAGCGAAACCACTGAGCTAAATCCCCAGCCCATCCTCTTTTGTTTTATAAAATGAGATAGTATAAACATAGAAAACGATGAGAATTGGGGAGCTATGAGTAACCCCATTAGACTGTAAGTAATTAGACTGTAAGTCTAATGCATTGCAGATCTGAACAGTAAGATTTACTAAATGTGCAGCTCCTGCAAATACCCAGTTCCTAATAGAGATGTATCCAATAATTAACCACTAAAATATGGCCTGTCCAGAGTAAGGCTATTCAACAATTCGAAACTGTGAGGGTTAGTCACTCTTTTTACAATTGTTTGTATGTTTGCCTAAAAATCAATGTTAGAGGCCTGAAAACTCGGGACTGTTTGTCTTAGTAAGGAGTTAATTACAATTCCAGCAAAATAACACAGTAACAGTTCATCTTTAGATTCATGTCATCGCCAGCAACAAATAGAAAAGCAGCACCACTTCTGGAAATTTTCACCAGACAGAAAGTAAACGTGAATGGTATTTTCTCTCTCTCCGCGGATCAAAACTAAGGGGTTATTTAAATTTCACTAAGAAAACTAATCACCACTAGAAAGAAAAGTCTATACTGCGTTGTTGATGTCCTATCAGAAACTCCTTACAAGAGAGACTACGCTTGTGCATGAAGGCCTGTGTTTGGGGATGAGGAAAGAACCCAAGAATCTGTAACCTTGACCTCCATAGTGAGAACATCACTAAGAAACCCAGGAAAGCAGGCTCCCACGTTTCTCTTGGAAGAGTTGAGCAGATGCTTTACACTGTCCTTTGTGTGTGTGCGTGTGCGGGCGTGTGTGTCTCTATGTCCATGTTGGTGCCTATCTCTCTGTCTGTCTGAGAAGCTAAAAGTAAGACCAGCATCTTTCTAATAACAGAGTGTGTTTTCAAGATCTTCTAAATATTTTGAATCGAAATACAGGACTGATAGAAACTTACAGTATTCCAACTCAAAGAAAAAGAGGTCATTTGGGGGCAAATATCGCCAAAGGACTTTTGTCTACTTGACTAATTAAAATTTTAGAGAAGTAGATAAAATATTCAAATGTCCACTTGCAGTATTTCATTTATTAATTGTCTTACAAAGCTGCCTTTAACACCATATACACTCATCCCTCTGTATCCATGGAGAGTGCATGACAATTGGGGGTGAAATCCACATGTGCTCATGTCACTTCTATAAAATGGCACAGCATTAGCATATAATCTACACGCATCCTCCTGTATATTCTAAATCATCTCTGGGCTGCTTATAATACGTAATACAATATAAGGACTATCTAAATCATGGCTGTACTGTATTTTTTAGAAAATAGTGAACCAAAAAAGATTGGACATATGTCCTACAGACACAATTGTTTTGAAAGTCTTTAATCTGTGGTTGGTTGAGCTGACAGATGCCTGTACTATATAAGTAATACATTAGTTTAGAAATATTATTAATTTCCATGCTGATCTTTCATTAAGCAGTTTTATCCAACTTCTTCCTATACATTTTCAGCATGACTATCTCAGTCTCTAGAGCCAATTTTATATTGCATATAGCCATTTTCAAAGACACAGCATTTTTCACTCCCACCTCAAGGCCTTGAATTACAACACGTTGGGGATTCTAGTAAGATACTGTTGCATGTTACTGAAAATATATCCAAAGCCTGCCTAAGTATACTTTCACGAAACATTGGAATAATTGCTTTTTTTCATTTATTCTTTTGGTGTGTGCCTGTAAAGACCAAAATATAGTCATTGATTTATTCTATTAATTTTATTTTTATTTATTTATTTACTTATTTATTTGTACTGGGGATCAAACTTGGGACTTTGTGCTTGCAAGGCAGGCAGCGGAACCACTGAGCTAAATCCCCGGCCCTATCCTATTAATTTTAATGATGGTTAAAAACATGTTACAAAGACTTTCAGAACTCCTAATGTGATGTGGTACCCAAGAGATAATTGCAAAATCCATTTACCTTGGGTTTTTATTGATTCTGCTTGATAACTCCAATACCTGAAGCAAGTATTCATTAAGGTCATTTGCAACTGATGCGTTTTCCTGGAAAACTGTAGTTTTCAAAGCAAAGTAATGGAGGAAGATTTCTGAAATGGAACCATCATGACAGACCTGACAAAGGTGACTCACCTGTCTCCTGTGGGCTAAACTTGGTCACCTGGGGCGGGCATAAGATGGGCAGAGGTGAGCAAACGTAGGAGGGTCAAAGTGCAGATCAAAGTCCACGCACGTTAGGAGACAGTCTATCAACTGGTGGAAGCAGGGATGGAGGGAGACAGCGTAGCGGCTCCCAAAAGTGCAAGACACAGTGCTGCCAGGTGAAGAGAACAGAGGAGAGACGCAGAAACGCAGCAATCACCACTGGTTTGTGGATCTTCCAGTTCATTTCCCTTTCCTTTCTTAGCCTCGTCTCTCAGTTTCATCTTTGGCCACTTGTTTCTGTAAAGGTGGTCTTTAAATAACCAAGTAATATAATTCAGGAGATTGTATAATATAAGATAGACGTAATGCATACTTGGCAATTGGTGTCTGCAAAACATGAGAGAAAATACTTAGCATTTAAACTGAGGAAATTTGTTCACACTATTTGGTAACTTTCATCCTGTAATTTTACAGATTACAGATATACCATTTATGGGCGAATTTGTACTTTAACTAATTTCATCAAACTCTATTAATCAAGTACCCAGAGAATGATACTAAAAACACCAGGTGCAGCATGGAATCACCCTAACGAGCTAAGTGTACTTGCACTATGAGAGAGCCGCTTAGGACATAAAACAAAAAGCAGCAAATATATCTTCGATGGGAAACAAGTTAACTGAATATGCAAAAAATCTGATTTAAATATTGGTATTCCAAGTCATTTATACATATCAGAAAATAGCAAGGCCATATTGAAAGTAATATTACATTATACTAAATAATTCAGTAATAATTATCTTTAATCTACAGTCTCCCGAGTGAGAGATTTATATAAAGCACAGTACAAGGGGTATCCCAAAAGCCACTAAATTGGAGAAATGTTTAATATAAGCCTTTTTGAAAATTCATAATCATTTTTGGATTCATCATCTTATTATAGGTTCTGAAGAATCCTACAGTAAAAATATTTGTTTAAGTTTGTTTAACCTGGAATTTACAAACTTCCTTGAAGTTCTATCATTTTGGGGTAATGTCCCATTTCTGACGAGCAAAGGCATCCTCTCTGAATTGGGGGCTTCTCAGCCTCTCTGTCATCTCTTCAAACCTCAACGTGGACGACACTTTCTTTTAGTCTGTTGATTTCAATGTTAACATCATCTTAAAATACACAGCTCTACAAATACCATTTACCACCTAACATGATGCAACCACACGAACACATAGCATGAGCCAGAAGACCTGATCAGCTCACAATTCTGAGATTTCAATCTTGTTCAGAACACTAGTGTCAACCTGGACAGGGGGACAACCAAGACCTCAAAAAGGACGTGTCATTTAGGGTACGATAGTTTCTGTACCCCTTACTAAGCTATTATCTCTCACCTCCAAATCCACTCTTCTATAGTCTTCGTGAAGTCAAGTTTGATGTTAAGCATATTTGATTTCTCTTTAGAAAGTAAGAGCAGAAAATGTAGCTAGCTCTACTCCTGCAAGGTTTAGCCAATGAGGGTACTTGAGAGACTAACAGGCAGGTGGAGGGGGAAAGAGAGCTTGTTTATTTCTTTTTCTTTCCTAGTAGGGGCATCTCAGGAATGACACATCACTTGGCAGTAGCTAATATCTCCAGCAACAGTTGTTTCCAGTTTCATAGACTTTCCACACTGGCAGATTGGGTTTATGGCTCTTCCTTAAACATGCCAGCCCATGCCTGATAATGCCACCATTGGGACAGTTTACCCAGCACCCTCGGTTTAAAGGAGAGGTTTATTTTGGGTCTTAGTTCCAGTTCATGGTTGGCTCACTCAAAGGCAGACATGGAATAACTGGTGGGCATGACAGAGGAAACAGATCTCAAGCCATTGCAGCCAGGAAGTAGAAAGAGAAGAGAGGCATCGGGAACAAGAATGCACCCTTCCTGGTCACATGCCCATGACCAGCCCCCTCTGACAAGGCCCCACCTCCCAATAGCACATTTAGCTCTGAACTTATCCTTTGATTACTTCATGATGAGCAAAGTGCCCCCATGATCCAATCGCCTTCCAAAAGTCCCACTTCTGAACATATGAGCCTTCTGAGGGACACCCTAGGAGGGGCTTTTTGGAACTGGCTAGATCTAAAGTGTGTGATACTGGGATTAAGGGTATGTGGTACTAAATTAGCCCACTGATTAATTTAGCATTGTTCTGGGTATAGATAATGGGAAGCCTCATCCTGGGAAAGAGAAAGAGAGACTTGCTGTTACTGCTTGCTGCCTTCTGCCTGCCACACCATGAACTGTTTCTCCCCTGTGATGCCCCTCTGCCATAACCCCCACCTTGGAACCAGCCAACTATGGGCTAAAACCTCCACAAACTATGAGCTGAAATAAACCCTTCCTCCTTTAACTTTGGGTGCAGGGTATTTTGTCTCAACAGCAAGAAAAGTAACTAAGACAAATGGCATGGAAGAGAATTGTTCACTTCATGGCAGTGAGGAAGGAGAAAGCAGAGGAAGAGTCAGAGAGAGAGGAAGATGGTTGGGACAAGATATACCCTGGCAAGGAATGCTGCAGGTCCCTACTTTGTAATGTTAGTACCCGCATCACCACTCAGGCCCTCAGATCTCACCAGCTTGGTGATCTGAGCCTTCAACACAATGATGTTTGGGGGAATATTTTGGATCTGAACTGTGACAGTCCCCAAAACATATGTTCTTGAGACAATGTCACATGTTAGGAAAAAAAATTGGAATTTTTTAGACATCTTCTGATTTTTGATTATGAACAAGGTTATAGAGTTTTTCTAACTATATTGCTCTTAGAGAGGAGCATTTCATAAAGAGAGTGGGCAATGGTTTTAAGCACTGTATTAACTGTTTAGTTTTTCTAAGCCTCATTCAGCAGGAGTCCGTGTCATTTCTAACATTGTGAAAAAGTCATGTAGTGAAAAGTATCCACTGAATTCAGCAGAAAGATCATTAATGGGCATTTGAGACAAGGCCCTGTGGAGGAAGAAGGGTTGAAGTACATTGCAAAGAGCCGAGTATGACTGAAAATAAAGAGAAGACAGAAGTACAAACAAATCTCATGAATAATTACTCTAAACAGAGAGCAGAACCAATAGATACAATTCACTGTTCCAAGGAATTTCCTTCATTACTGTGAAGGAGAGATTTGAGTAATTAAATATTTAGGAAAGAGACAATGAATAGAAGTTAACAATGGGAAGGAATAATTTTTCTTTTTTCTCCTGTACATTTTTTTTACTTGTATCAGTTTATGTTTGCAATACATAATGATTATAATCACTGTAGGAAATTGGTACATGTGTGTAATACATTTCAATTATTTTATTTCCCCTTCCCTTCACCTCCTTTTATTTTTCTAGAATCAGATTCATTTATAAGACCTTATAAAGTTAATTATCATATATACAGATTGAAAACCAAACTAATAGGCCAAAGAACATAGAAAACATATAAGACAAATTTACTAAGGCAAGTTACACTTTTAGATGCATTGTCCATGTTTGGATTACAATACTTTTCTCTCTTTCTTCCCCCCACCCCATTATCTGTCTTTTATTTTACATTTCATACAAGGTGAGTTTTTCATATAAAAAAACACCATGAGCTATTTAAGCTTGTGTGTCTGGATTATTTCACTTAACATTATGGGCTCAAGGTGCACCAGTTTTCCTACAAGTGGCTCATGTTCATTCTTTTTTTTCCCCTTAGATTCTTTTATTGATACATTTTACATATACAATACATTTACAATTATCTTTGGGTACTTGTACCTTTCCATGATATACCGTGGTTCTTATTTTTTCTCCATTTCCTGTCCTCCCTTCACCCCCTCCATCCTTCTTTATTTAAAAAGACTTTGTTTTCATTTTTTACTTTTCTTGTAATTTTTCCTTTCCCTTCTTTCCTTTCCCCTACCCCTCCCACTTCCCCTACACATTTGGACCTTTTCTTTCTATTTCACATATAAGTTATCATTTTAATCATTATTTACACTTTCAGTTTCTCACACTAGAGAAACTATTCAGTATTTACACATGTGGGTCCTATATATTTCATTTAAGAATATGTCCTCAATATGCATCCATTTAGCTATAAATGTCTCTAGTTTCTCATTCTTTATGGCTGAGTATTACTCCTTTTTATTAAAAAAAAACCTCACATCTTCTTTATCCAGTTTCCATTTGATGGGCACTTGGGCTGTTTCCAAGCTTTTGCTATTACAAACTGTGCTGCTATAAACATGGGTGAGCATATATCACTGTGGTATGATTCTTTTTAATCCTTTGGGAAAGATACCCAGCAGGGGAATAGGTGGTTCAAATGGGGCCTCTAGTCCTAGTTCTTTGAGGTATCTCCATACTGATTTCCACAGTGGTTGCATTAAGTCTGCACCCCTACCAAAAATGGAGAAGGGTTCCTTTCTCCCGACAAACCTGCCAACATTTGTTATGGGTTGATTTCTTGATAGCGGCCATTCTTTCTGGGGTGAGGTGGAGTCTCAGTGTTGTTTTCATCTGCATCTCTTAATGACCAGTGATGTTGAACATTTTTTCATATATTTCTTTGCTGCTTTTACTTCTTTGTCTGAGAAATGTCTGCTCATTTCAGATGCCCATTTTTGAATTGGGTCTTTGAATTTGGGGGGTCTGATTTTTTTCAGTTCTTTATAGATTCTAGATAGTAGACCTTTGTTTGAGGTACAGCTGCTAAAAAATTTTTCCCATATTGTAGGTTGTCTCTTAGCTCTGTTGGTAGTTTCTCTTGCAGTGCAGATTTTTAATAAGATGAGATCCCAGTTGTTGATTCTTTGTGCTAGTTCCCGTGCTACTGAGGTTTTGTTCATAAAGTCTTTTCCTATGCCAATGTCTTCAAAAGTTCTACTTAACTTATCTTCCAGCAAGTTTAGTGTTTCTGTTTTAATATTTAGGTCTTTAATTCACTTTGATCTTAGTGTAGTGCATGGTGATAGATATGGGTCTAGTTTTAATCTTTGGCAGGTTGAAGTCCAGTTTTTCCAACACCATTTATTAAAGAGGCTATCTTTCCTCCAGTGAGGATGGTTGCCTCCTTTGTCAAAGATTAGGTGAGTGAGTATGTCTGGAGTTGTTTCTGCATCTTCTAATCTATTCCACTGATCCTCGGGTCTGTTTCTTTGCCAGTATCATGCTGTTTTTATCACAGTAGCTTTTAGTATAGTTTCAAGTTGGGGACTGTGATACCCACTGCCATGTCTCTGTTGCCTAGAATTTCTTTTGCTATTGTAGGTCTCTTCAGGTTCCAAATGAATTTTTGGATTGTTTTCTCTAGTTCCATAAAATATATTGTTGGAATTTCAATCAGCGTTGTATTCGATCTATAGCACTTTCAGAATTAGAGCC